CAGGAGCATTGAAACTAGGACACACGCAGGCAACAACAACAACAGCAACAGCGACGATTGAAAACGTGCGTCGCAGGACGACTGGCAAGTGCAAAGCACAAGGATAAGCTTAATATGCCAACATAAACACGCACACACACACACACACACATAAACGCACGAAAAGGCAACAGAAAGAAAACAAAAGTCGAAATTTATAATGCAGACATACACAGGCCATAGATGTCGCCGCGCCAGAGCAGGAGGCAGCGAGCAGAGATTGGAGGGAGTGAGCGAGCGAGCGAGCGTGCGAGTGAGAGTGAGAGTGAGCGGATGAGAGTGATGGTGATTTGAGAACAATGCTTTAGAACGGTCAGGGGCGAGGCGCAGCCTTTGCATAAAATTCAATTTGTCGTGTGCAGCAGCCATGAATATGCCGCTCAGCCGAGCTTAAGCTGCTCCTGCTGCTGCTGCTGCTGCTTCCGTCGCTGCCGCCGCCTGCAGCTGACACTGAAGCCCACATTTGCCTGTCGGCTAGTGTATAACACAGCTCACAACCCACACACTCGCACACTCAATTTTTGTTTTTTTTTTTTTGCTCTGCGATTGATGTTATTGTTGCTGTTGTTGTTGTTGCTGCTGCTGTTGCGTCGCATGCAGCGGGCGCTTATGCAACATATGCGCGAAATTACTTACGAGGCGTCGCAGTCGCTGTCGCTGTTGTCGTCGCCGTTACTGTCTCCGTCTCCGTCGCCGTCGCTGTCAGCGTCAGCGTCAGCGTCGCTCCAGCTATTGCTGTCATTGACAGCTGCTCTGGAACTGGTTCTGGTTCGCCTGCTGTTGGCTTGTAAAACAATGGCATGCATTTGGCGGCAGACAAGACACATGCAGTTATTAACAAAGTACACACACATACACACACATTTATACACTTTTTTACAGCTATTTTCAACAGTTAAAACAATTGCGCACAACGTTGGTAAATTAAAAACTTTTTCACTTTGTTTACCATTATTTCATTTATTTCTTTTATTTTATTTTATTTTATTTTATTTTATTTTTTTTTTTGTGGTCCACAGTTGATAATTATAGAGATCCTAAAACGTTTGCCGCAGCCACAGCTGAAGTGGCCCATTATGTGGCATCAAATGAATGATAATCAGCCGGCTGATAGGACCCAAGAGGGGCAAGGGGCGTGGCTAGGCATGCCTGGCATTCTGTTTGTCATATGCTTGGCCACAGCATGTCCAAAGTTTTAAGTGAGTTCGCAATGTCTGTTTGTTTTTGTGTGTGTGTGTGTGTGTGTGTGTGTGTGTGTGTGTGAGTGTTTGGGTTTATACGTTGCTCTGTTTAAGCCAGTTTAAGTGCCATAGCAGTTTTTCAAAGTGCTTCAGTGTGACACAAAAATAACGCATACGCCATGTGTGGCAGGCAGAACCAAGTGAAAGTGTCCTCAAGTCTAACTTGTTGCCTATTCAATATGAATATTTATTTCAATTAATTATTTAAGAGCTTTCTAGCGCTAGCTGCTGCTCTCGATAAATCTTCTAAAAGTAAAGTCTACTTGATTTAAAGCCTAACGGGATTCGTGTGCCTCTTTAACAAATACTTGGGCATGAGTGAAGCAGTTGGCTCTTTCTCTCAATGGAGCTCAATTAAGTAGGTCTTAAGTGTGAGTGTGGGACTTTTTGCGCCTTTTGCTCGGCTCGCAACTTCTGCACACCTTTCGCTTTCACAAGTCATTAATCACAGCAGCGCAAAAAGAGGGCAAACTTTAAAAAGGCGAGTGAATGGCAAGAAAAAAAAAAAAAAATAATTGAAAATTGCATGCTGATACGCAGCAGAGATAAAAGAATGTGCGCTCAAATGGCTTAGCTGACTTAATTCGATTAAAGCAGAACAAACGCATTTCTGATTACAAAGAAACTCAAACGAGCATCGAAAGAAGAAGGCAGCCCAGAGATTGGGGCAAAACTGACAACAATTACGCTGCAAATGAAGTTGTCATTGAGTTGAGCATTGGCGGGCCCTTAATTACGTTAAGCTCTTGCGCAGAAAGAAGATAGCATGTGAATATTACGTATACGAGCCGTCGTACACCGTCGACCCTTGGGGTGAAATGCAAACAATTTACGTCAATTAATTGTGGCTTTCTGCGAACCGGTGAACACAAAGCCCAGGTTCTAGCTCGACAGCAGTGCATCGCACATGGACAGCTACATGGATTATGATTAGCTCCGCCAAAGGGAAGCGAGAGGAAATCTGCAATTGAAAGTCGAAAACTGAAAACTGAAAGCTGATAGCTGAAAACAGAAACGGCAACAATTTGCACAGCAGCTACAGCAATAGCCAGACCCAAAACAACTGAGCAGAGTCAAAGTTGCGATACTCGATACTGCCAGCCTAAGGCATAAGCCATGTGGCATGTGGCATGTGGCATTCGGCATGCAGCATGCGGCTAATCGTTGCTTTGGCAACAATTTCACCAAAAGATAGGCGCAATTAAGTCAAAAATTTATTTGATGCCCAATCTGAAATGGACATGAAACCGAGCTATGTGCTGGCCAAATAATCATGGCCATTGTCTCGATTGTTGTTGCAGCTGTCGTTGTCTGTGTTGCACATTGGGCGTTGCTCGGCCTGGCTGCGAGACACACTGCATTAGCTTCAAGTGCAATGTGACAGCGGCATCGAGTCGAGTGACAGCATTACTACCAGCCAGCCACTCATACACTCGACTGGCCGTCCGTTCGTCCGTCTGGCCAGAGCCCTGCTCCGTAGTTACCTCTGGGCTGCCAGCTAAGCTCTCGGCATCTGTCATTTATGCATGCTGACTGATTGATCCGGCACTCAGCACGACGCTCCACAGCTGAAGTGGGGCAACTAAACGCTGCATGCATATTGTAGACTCTGTTTTCCTCTGCGAGCCACTCGTCATGCGGCATAAATCAGCAGCAATTGAGGTGCTGCCAAACAATTTAATTGGCGATTAGCCAGGCTGATAAGATTGACTGAAACACAGGCAGATATGGAAATGGATAACTCGAACCTATCATTAGCTTTGAGAAAATATATGCAGAGAATATGATATATAGAAGAATACAGTATGCAAAATATATAAATAATTACTTAACCTGATTTTTATTTAGATTTATCGCTCGCAATCCACAATAAAGTTGACTTTTAGTAGAGTCCAATTTAATTTCCAATTGGATGCAGCGCATGCCATTCAGCTGGTAAACCCGCTGGTAAACTTGTAAGCCCTGTATAAGTAGCTTACACACAGTTCGCAATCCAATGTGAAAATGTTTTACAAATTTATCCTCTTACTCACTCCACTCTATTATCTGCTCTCTCTCTCTCTCTCTCTAAGTCATTTAGCAACAATTACGCATTTACACTTTCGGCCAGAGAGACCCCGCATAGGGCAATTGGATATCATTAATGCGGTTAAATTGTATAACCCACTGCTGTCAGAGGCAGCTTACTGGACCAAAACCAGGCTGTGTATAGGTATAGGGCATGTGTGTGTGTGTGCGCGTGTATTTGTGTGCTAGGTTTGGGAATTCTCTCTGTCAGGGTTTCGCATAACAGACATGTTCCAAGTGCCAAAAAAAAAGTCTGGCCAACATTTTTGGCTTTTCTCTTACTTATATTTTCCCTTTTAGTTTTTTTTTTCGTTACACATTTAGCCGCAAGACCAGACAACCCTGGCTAAAAGAAGGAGCACACAACAACAACTCTGTTGTGTTGCTCCATTTGCAACATTTATGCTGTGTGCTGTCGGTCGGCTATGTCTGCATCTATGTGCGTGTGTGTGTATGTATGTGTGTGTGCTGGTCATTTTATTGTTTCCAGTCAAAATGGTCAAATGGAAATTTTGTTTTTAGCCATTTTTTTTTTTTGCGTTGCGATTTGCGTATAGATTTGGATTGAGCTGTCGTAGATGTTATTGAGGATTGTGCCGTAACGAAAGGCCAGCAGAGACAGCCAGACGGACAGCGGGACTGCCGGACAGCAACAGATATCGCCTGGCCATATCATGTTAGTTAAAGTTGGGTCGCTGTAAACCGAGTGATTAGAATAATCGCCGCTGGTGCCTTGGAGCCGTCTCCATGCGCACCCTTTGATATCCAACTAAATCCAATTCGTATTCACCGTTGGCTCATAAAATTTGCAAGCCTTCGATTGTCAGTTTTTGGCGCTGCTTAAACATTTTTATTACTCTCGCATGGGCTTAAGAGCGAAAGCTCTCTATTCCCAGGCAAAGTGAATTTTATGGCTTGTGCATTTCGCTCCAAAGGATCAATTTGGGCATTTTGGCCAGCCCAAAGTAGCTCAAAGATAAACGAAATTCATATACATATATACAATAAACTTTTGCAATTTGTGAAATGGCAAAAATTTTTTATTTCGATTTTAAAGATCTACTAATTATATTCAATAATTGGTAATTAACAACTGCTCACAAGTAGCTGAAAGATATTGTCTTTTTTTTTCCCCCCCCAAATACGGAAAATTTATTCAACGCCTTTCCACTCGCTCTTCACAGTTGGCGCTGGTTTCCAAGAGCTGCGGCAGGAGGCGGTGTTATAATTAATTTTCAAATTCAACCATGTCCTACGCCACAAGTCGTCGAGCAGCTGGGGGTGCGGGGTGATATTTAAGGGTTTGTTTGCACAGCAAATGCCGCCGCAATCGTATAATTTTATTCAGATTTCGCTGTCAAAGCGCGAGCTGCAAATTTAGCATAGCTGGCAATTTGCTTGTCTGGGCTGTGGCTGCGTGCTGTGTGCTGTGTGCAGGGGGCGGGAAGATATATTATGAATGTGTCTGTAGTGCCACGCCTTGCAATTTATTTTCCATTGCGTAAAAGTGTCCAAAACTGCAAGTCGCACATTTGTTTTCGTCCCTTATGAGTTTTACACGCAGCAGCAGATAAACGCAAGGTAAGGCAGGCCGCGAATTTACTTTATTTATGACTTTTGCGAAATTCAACAATTGTTAGATATATGGCAGAGTTACTTCTGGGCCACGCCCAAAATCTTCTCTATTTCGCAGATGCGATCCAGCACCTCCTGGTTGCGAGCTCTCTGATCCTTCAGCTTGTCGGCTATGGCGTCCAAGGTAGCCGCAATGGCCAGCAGCGATAGATCTGTGGTATTCAGATCCCTGCGCGTCGGATGTATCTTTGCCACGGGCACAACTGCCGACGGATCCACATCTGAAATTGGTTGAATCAATAGATGGATAGTAACTGTGTGAATATATTTGACTTAAAGCAATATATTTTCAACCTGAATCGGAAACAGTTGTTGAATCCTCAGCCGATACTCCATCTGCGGCTGCTTCTGGGACGGAAATGCTCGATGGAGCCGCCAAAGTCTCCACGCCAGCTTCTGAAGTCACCGCTGGCTCTGCTGCAGGAGTCTCTATCTCCGCTACTGGAGATTCTACTGGGACCGAAGTCTCCACGACAGTAGCTGCTGCAGGTTCTGCTGCCGGAGTTGGAGTCTCTACAGGTGCTGCTTGAGATGCCACAGAGTCAGCTGTCGCAGCAGGAGTCTCCTGAACAGCCGCTGGAGTTGGCGATGAACTCTCTTCGACAGCCACTGGAGATGCTGCAGGCTCTGATTCTGGAGCAGGAGTCTCCTCGACAGCCATTGGAGTTGCCACCGGCTCTGCAACAGGTACTGAACTTTCCTCGACAGTCACTGGAGATGCTGCAGTTTCTGATTCGGGAACTGGGGTCTCTACGATAGTTGTTGGAGTCTCTGTGAGCTCTGCTGCCGGAGTTGGAGTCTCCACGACAGTCACTGAGTCTGCCACTGATTCTGCAACGGGTGCTAAAGTCTCCTCAGATGGAACTACCGATGGCTCTGATACTGGAGCTGTAGAGTCCACGACAGTCACAGGAGCCACTGTCGGCTGTGATAATGGTGCTGCCACAGGCGCTACAGCTGGAGTCTCCACGACAGCTGCTGGCACTGTTGGAGTCTCCACGACAGCTGCTGGCACTGCGGGAGTCTCCACTGGGACTGAAGTCTCCACAGCAGGAGTGGTCGCAAGTTCTGATTCTGGAGCTGCAGTCTCTACGACAGCGATAGGTGCCGCTACCGGTTCCGGCAATGGTACTGCCACAGGGGCCTCTACTGGTGCTGAAGTGTCCACAACAGCTGCAGGCAACTCCACTGGATCTGAATCCACAATAGGAGCTGCTGGAATTGCCTCCGACTCAGCTGCCGGAGTTGGTGCCTCCACCACTGTTTGTTGTGTTTCCGTCGGCTCTGCTGCCGGAGTTTGATTTGCCACGACAACCTCCGAAGTCTCCGAGACTGCTGCGGGAGCTTCGGCATTTACTGGAGTTTCAACGGACTCTGCTAAAACTGCTGTGGGGGCTGCCGCCGGAGCAGGAGTCTCTGCGACAGCTGCTGGAACTGTCACCGGCTCAACTATAGGCTCCGCAACTGCTACAGGAGCTACCACTGGTGCAGATGGAATCTCCACAGCATCGTTAAGAGAAACTGGAACAGGACTCACGACATCAGCTGTTGGAACTGCAGCTGGCTCAGCTACTGGCGCTGAAGTCTCCATGACCGTATCAGGAGTTGCCGCTGCCTCAGCTACTGGCGCTACTACTGGGCCTGTAACTGGTGCTACTTCGGCTAGGGGAGTCTCCACAATGGCTGCAGGAGCTGCCGCTGGCTCTGCCTCCGGTACTACTACGGGTACTGGAGTCTCCACAGCTGTTGCCACAACCTCTGCTGCGGGTGCTGCAACAGCTTGCGCTACTGGAGCTGGAGTATCCACAACTGGAATTATAGTTGTGGTAGCAGCAGTCGCTGTCGAAGCTGGAGTGTCCTCAATTGAAGCTGCTGCTGCCACTGGCGGTGATACAGGAGTCGGAGTCTCTACGGGGTCTGCTGCCTGAGAAGAAGTTTCCACGACAGCTTCTGGTGCCGATACCGTAGGTGCTATCGGAGCTTCTACCGGTGCTACTACTGGCGCTGCGATCGGAGAGTCATCCGGTGCTGCTGTTAGAACTACTACTGACACTGCTTCTGGAGCTACAACCGGCGCCATTGCGGAAGCTGCTACTGGAGCTGCTGCTGGAGGTGCTTCTGGAGCTGCTACCGGCGTTGCTGCTGGAGCTGGAGCTGCTGCCGTTGCTGCTGCTGGAGGTGCTTCTGGAGCTGCTACTGGAGCTACTACCGGTGCTGCTACTGGAGCTGCTACTGGTGCTGCTGCTGGAGCTGCTGCTGGTGCTGCTGCTGGAGCTGCTGCCGGTTCTGCTACCGGCGCTGCTGCTGGAGCTGCTGCCGGTGCTGCTGCTGGAGGTTCTGACGGCGCTGCTGCTGGAGCTGCTGCCGGTTCTGCTACCGGCGCTGCTGTTGGAGCTGCTACCGGCGCTGCTGCTGGAGCTGCTGCCGGTGCTGCTGCTGGAGGTTCTGCCGGCGCTGCTGCTGGAGCTGCTGCCGGTTCTGTTGCTGGAGCTGCTGCCGGTGCTGCTGCTGGAGCTGCTGCCGGTGCTGCTGCTGGAGCTGCTGCCGGTGCTGCTGCTGGAGCTGCTGCCGGTGCTGCTGCCGGTGCTGCTGCTGGAGCTGCTGCCGGTGCTGCTGCCGGTAATGCTGCCGGTGCTGCTGCCGGAGCTGCTGCTGGAGTTGCTGCTGGAGGTTCTGCCGGTGCTGCTGCTGGAGCTGCTGTCGGTGCTGCTGCCGGTTCTGCTACCGGCGCTGCTGCTGGAGCTGCTGCCGGTTCTGCTACCGACGCTGCTGCTGGAGCTGCTGCCGGTGCTGCTGCTGGAGCTGCTGTCGGTGCTGCTGCCGGTTCTGCTGCTAGAGGCTCTGCCGGTGCTGCTACTAGAGCTGCTATTGGTGCTGCTGCCGGTTCTGCTACCGACGCTGCTACCGGCACTGCTGCTGGAGCTGCTGCTGGAGCTGCTTCCGGTGCTGCTGCTGGATCTGCTTCCGGTGCTACTACCGGAGCTGCTGCTGGAGCTGCTGCCGGTGGTGCTGCTGGCGCTGCTGCCGGTGCTGCGGCTGGAGCTGCTGTCGGTGCTGCTGCCGGTTCTGCTACCAGCGCTGCTGCTGGAGCTGCTTCCGGTGCTGCTGCTGGAGCTGCTTCCGGTGCTACTAACGGAGCTGCTGCTGGAGCTGCTGCCGGTGGTGCTGCTGGAGCTGCTGCCGGTTCTGCTACCGGCGCTGCTGCTGGAGCTGCTACCGGCGCTGCTGCTGGAGATGCTGCCGGTGCTGCTGCTGGAGGTTCTGCCGGTGCTGCTGCTGGAGCTGCTGTCGGTGCTGCTGCCGGTTCTGCTACCAGCGCTGCTGCTGGAGCTGCTTCCGGTGCTGCTGCTGGAGCTGCTTCCGGTGCTACTAACGGAGCTGCTGCTGGAGCTGCTGCCGGTGGTGCTGCTGGAGCTGCTGCCGGTTCTGCTACCGGCGCTGCTGCTGGAGCTGCTACCGGCGCTGCTGCTGGAGATGCTGCCGGTGCTGCTGCTGGAGGTTCTGCCGGTGCTGCTGCTGGAGCTGCTGTCGGTGCTGCTGCCGGTTCTGCTACCAGCGCTGCTGCTGGAGCTGCTTCCGGTGCTGCTGCTGGAGCTGCTTCCGGTGCTACTAACGGAGCTGCTGCTGGAGCTGCTGCCGGTGGTGCTGCTGGAGCTGCTGCCGGTTCTGCTACCGGCGCTGCTGCTGGAGCTGCTACCGGCGCTGCTGCTGGAGATGCTGCCGGTGCTGCTGCTGGAGGTTCTGCCGGTGCTGCTGCTGGAGCTGCTGCCGGTGCTGCTGCTGGAGCTGCTGCCGGTGCTGCTGCTGGAGCTGCTGCCGGTGCTGCTGCTGGAGCTGCTGCTGGAGCTGCTGCTGGAGCTGCTGCAGGTGCTGCTGCTGGAGCTGCTGTAGGTGCTGCTGCCGGTGCTGCTGCCGGTGCTGCTGCCGGAACTGCTACCGGCGCTGCTGCTGGAGCTGCTGCCGGTACTGCTGCTGGTGTTGCTGCTGGTTTTGCTACCGGAGCTTCTGTCGGTGTTGCTGCTGGTGCTACTGCCGGTGCTGGTACTGGAGCTGTTTCAAGAGCTGGAGTCGCCACCGCAGCAGCTGGCGGTGAAGATATATTTGCTAGTGATGCTTGGGTCGCCATTACGTTTGCTTGGTTGTGTGATATGTTGTTAATTGCTTTTTTACAGTTCTAAAAGTCTTTCATTTCCTGAAAATGTTCCGTCGACTTAATATTTGCAATTGTTTCTAAGCTCCTTTTAGCCCAAGGTAGAAATGGAGAGCTTCAACAAATTGTCACTTTCATTACGAACAAACAGGTCAAGGTAGATGGTATAAGCGAGAACAGATAAGGCGCTTAGCCTTGGCCTTCGGAAGAGTCAGTGGCCTGAACAAAAGCTACTTTTAAATATGATGCAACCGAAAGGAAAATTGCAATTGAAAGAGGGAAATTACGAAGCCCATGTGAGCTTACAACAAACTTGTCGTCATTCACGCTGTTTTCCCAGCCTCGATCGATAGACTGCAATGGATTTCCTATTGGAATGGCGCCACTTTGGCGAGCGTCGTGAAAAAGCGCTTGAATGAGCAGAAAAACTAGTGGAAAATTCTGGAAAATATATTTCAAATTATGACAATATAGAACAATCAATGCTAGTTTATTCTGAAGTAGATAAAGTCTCAGGATAATTTAATGCAAATAATACACAATCTGATTTCAATTAGAGGATTTATGCTGCTATTTTTCTGAATAAGAAATTTTGTTAAATATTAAATGTTACTTGTTTCAAAGTTGAGTTTAAATTATGTATTTGATTTGTTATATTTATTTGAATTGCTAATTTGTTACGCCGTCGAACTATACGATTCGAATAGACACGTTCAACTGGCCAAGCATTGCGTTCTCTCATTTTTCTATGCCTCTTTTCACTAATTTTCTTTCGTGGAGAAGCCCGACGAACGCCCATTGAGAACTTAAAGACTGAAAGAATGTATTTAAGTATGCGGAAAAACCTCGATTTATGGTGAATCGACTTTGGTCGGCTTTATCTCTGTCATTCTCAATTTCGTATATCAACAAGTGTCTCTGGGAAATTATAAGAGAGTAGGCACTAAAGAGTGTACAATTTTAATGATCAAATAACTGGTGTTATATATATATATATATATATATATAAATATATATATGTATATATCATGGCAATATAAATTTGTATTTACTTGAAAAAATTAAATGATTTGATTGCCTTGCATGTGTAGCTAGTTATTTATTTAAAGCTGATTACTTTCTCGCAGTTGTCAACAAATTGTAATGTAGCTCCATCCACTGGATATTTGGCAGACGGCATTCAATGTCTGACACTTTGACAAACTGCCACGACGCAGGAGCCGCTCAATCGGAACACATTAGCTGGTAGAAATGTAATCGCTGCGAACTAAGAAATAAATCTTTCAATTTTTCGAATGAATAAAGGATATAAATGCAGCCAAATGTGAAGCAATTCTCGATTGCAATGCATCCCACGCCGCCTCCTCGATGCTGCAACCAGTTTCAATAGAGTTGCACATGTCACGACAGTAGACAGGACTCTGAAGGGGTCCAGGGGGCGTACGCGAATGCGACGGCGAATGTGGATGAGGATGAGGATGAGGATGAGGAGGAGGAGGAGGAGGAGGAGGTTGAGTATGAGGATACTGAAGCAGATGCAGATACGGATGCGGATGGTTGGGGTAATGTGATCTGCGTACAATTTGCTGCCATCGCGACGTTTAAATCCCAACACACTTGAGACTTGATACTCTCGCAAATAGTTATACAATATGGCCAAGGAAAGCAATCGCGATGGGGCGTACGAAATAAAATAACGGATAAATAAAGGATGGAATAAAGAATTCATTCGCACAAATGCAAAATGCTTCTATGGAAATCATTCCAAGTCCCACTCAAAGCTCAGACCCAAGGCACAAGGCACAAGGCGCAAGGCACAAGACACATCCGTCGGAGACACTGAGTTTGCCAGCCGTCGCTCCGAGATTGAATTGGCAGTTCAATTTCACGTATTATTGACATTTAAGACCGAGCATCGGATATAAACGGAGACCCGCTGCCGGCCAGACAGCTGAAGCTATTGCCTGCCTATTATTTCATGTGATAAATCAATCGAGTCGTGTGTGAAGAGCGTAAAGGATAATCAAAAGGCCGAAGGAAGGAAGCGTGCATTTCCGCACTCCTTTAATGGTCATCAAAGGGCAGCTATGCAAAAATGAAGAACATTATCTGAATATGGAACTGAATGGCACTGAATCTGTCGAGGTAAACAACTTAAACTATTTTGTTTATTTTATTTATTCGTATTAAATTTAAATTTTCATTAAAAACAAGCAACACACATGTGTAAGTAATTAATGTCATTCGACACGGACCGCAGGCAAATACAAATACAAATACAAATCAGAACTTGAGTCCCGATATAGCATTCCGATGCGATTCGATTCGATGCGATTCGGACTGAACGATCTGCGAGCAGGTTTTGCACGCTTCCGGGCGCATTTTGCTAAATTGCAAATATTTTCCAATTCGCATGCATCAGCAGCACGAAATGCAAACAATTTTGCCTGGCAGCCACAATGGCTCACAAAAAGGAAAACTATCAAAAACGGACCGGCAATACAGTAGGCGACTTATTAGATACCCTCTAATCAAAGCAGCTACTGTAAATGAGTAATTGAATATACAAATTAAGCTTTTTTGCTGTAGTTGTTAGATGTTAGTGTGCGGTGTTGCACAAAATGAGTAGACTTCAATAATCCCGTGGCGACGACCGACGTTCTTTATTATCAAAAATCAACTAAAGTACAGTGACATAAATTCTTATATCCAAAGCTAGCCCTAAACCCTGATTATGCTGACATTGCATATTTACGCGAGGCATCGCATTACTTCGGGCAACAACATTGTTGCGCGTTGGAGCCACTGCTGCTGTTGTGCAATATCCGCTGGGAACGGCTACATTCATGCTGACGGCGCGTGATCAATCTGAACATTTATGTTTTGCTGGTCGATTGTGTTAACTCCTCCCCCACTTAGATGAATGACGTCCTCGGCTTTCTTGAAACTGTTAATTAATGTTTGAAGATCACGTTGACGTTTGTTCCTCTGATGTCTTTGATAGAGTTTCATCGAAGCGTAGCAGGAGAGTAAAAGGATGGCCACGGTTAGCCCAGATACTATTGGCCTTCTTACTAGCCCTTCCTCTAGTTGAGCAATATCCCGCAGATTTTTTATGCTTATCTTCTGCAGGTATGGCAGGCTTGGTATCTCTTGGTGGTCTGTTATATTTAAGAGCGCAGATACCGCTGGTCCCGGGGATTTCCTCACGTAGTTTTTTTTGGTTTTGGTATACGGTGTTGTTTACCTTTATCTTGTCGTCAAAGGTAAGGAGGAACGTCCCTTTTACCATCTGCTCGTTGACTGTAGCTGCTCCGTCGTTGATGATGATTACTCCATCGTCGACTATGGTTAGAGGTTCGAGGTGGCTGGGCCGAGTTGAACAATGTGCGGTGTCACCTGAGTGTAGCTGTTGAGCGCATGTTGTGTAGGGTGACTTCTTGCAGAACGTTATTGTGAGGGCTGTACTACAATTTCCTATTGATATTACATGATTTCCACAGTCAGCTAAATTGTAGTCTTCGGCGAAATTTATTATGATGCCGTTGTGTTGGACAGGGTATACGGTTAATTTTTTACATACTATGCTAGGCTTAGGATATCTTATAATGAAATGTAGAAAATTTTCGCTTAACAAAACTTTAATTTGAGATACTTCCATTAAGTCAGTAATAGTGATATTTATAGAGTGTTCATTAACAATGTTTTTTAAATCAGTGGAATCCAAAATGGAGGGGTTTACAATTCCAACCTTTGCAAGTGTTACTGATAGTATTAAGGTTTTTAACTCTGAGATAATTATTCTATTTCTTGTTAGCAGCGTTTCATATAAATGCTCTGTGTCTACTTGTTTTACTTTTGTGTTTTTTACTAGGAGGTTTACGGTGTCAGTTAGCTTATTAATTTGTTCCTGCATTTTTGTGTTTATGGTTATCTGCCTATTTTCTGACTCTACAAGTTCATTCTGTGTAAATTTTAGTTTCTCGAAATCATCATGGTCTGGCGTGCCAGCTACGACCTTTAGAACGGTGCCTAGCATATTGATACTCCTAGCATGTCTATGGTGGACATTTACTGTAGCTATTAATGTTTCTATATGTTGTATGTCTGCGTCTAATAACATTCTCATATGTGATCGGGGGAAATGGTTTGCTAATTCTTTCGTATTTTTTACTATTTCTGAGTATAGGGTAAGGTTGGTTGAGTGCTTCAAGTATTGGAAATCCGTCCAAATGGTTACGTATCCGTCCAAGATCGGTATGTAGTCCATGTTAGTATAGTCAGTCAATTTCGCTGTTATCGTTGTAGCAAAAAGAAGTATAGTCCAAATCCTAAAAAGATAAAAAAGGGAATTTAATGTTTTGCCTATCTTAGATTGTCCTTGTGGACCACCCTCCCTTTTATTAAGACTGTTGTCCCCAAGTCTGCGTCAATTTTGCCTTCGTTGTATAGTGGTGTCAGTTTGTTCCCTAAGCGTCTGTTTGTTTTTTCCAAAACTGTGTCGCCTATTTGGAATTGTCTATTGTGTCTTGTTTCGTTTACTCTATTTGTTAGGAGTTGTTGTGCCTTTTGAATTTTATTTCCTATCTCTATTTCGAGTTCTGGGGAGGATGAGTGGATTATATCGATTGGTCGTTTGTCCGTTACTGAGTGAATTGTATTGTTATATTCGATAGTTGCTTGAAGTATCGTTTCAACAGTGTCAGTAAT